CAGGGGAACAGGACTTGTGGGCACTGCCTTTGGTGTGTACTTGCCACCCACACATCCTCCATCCACCGTGCAAAGGGCACTCATGGATCTGGTATGCTTACTTCCTTTATAATACAGTTTGCCACTCAACTTGGGCGTTAGATTATCCTCGATTTTATGGCGTATTTGTGAGAAGAACTTCTTGCCCGCCCCCAATCCATGCTTGGGGGCAGTGGGCGTGGCAGGAGCAACAGACGGTGGATTGCTCCGCACCTGGCCCAACTTGGACTTGACCGTGTGCTTGTACATTGCTCCGAGATTATGTAAAGCAATTGTCCAGCGACTGGCGACGGCGGCGAGTAAAAGTGCATATAATTTCGCAATAAATTGCAGTTTCCTTTTCAATGGTCGACGGCAACTGGCCACTACTTTCACGGCTTGGGCGGCGGCAACTCTTGTGCTCTCGGATGTGGTATGGTGTTTTCTCTTCGGGCTCGGCGACGCAACTGAATTGGCTGGCCAAACAGACGCAGTCCGAGTCCAAGCCAAATGCTGGCTCTGCATTCGAAAGTGGCTTATCGAGAAACGGGCTGGCACATAAACAGAGCTCAACACAACACAAACTTGGCTGAGGTCGCGGTCGTTGGTAATTGGCCGAGGGAAAGGGGCAAGCGAATGCACCAAACCAAACGGCCACCGAGCAGCGAACCCCAACAACCAGGCACCGATCCTCAGGCTGGACCAATGATGCTAATTACCAGTACCAACAATTGGCCACACATGCTCGACTTGCGGCTACCCAGCACAATTAGTCACATCATCGCCATCAAGGCAATCACAAAAAGAAGAAAAGCGAAACAAGTGAGGCAATGGACTAGGTCTGAACCTGCCCTCGGCTGGTTATTTATGTTTCCAATTTGCCTTTTCATTGCCAGCAATTGGTCCGTCTACCTTACAAAAGATTCAAAGAGATCCACGGAAGGGCAGGGCAAAAGTGCCATGCGCATTGGGGACAAATAAATATTGGTATAGGCTGCACCGGTCTAGACTTTAGAGGTTGCAATACGGTTGAAAGGTCGTTAACCAGACTGGGTTAATAAATGTCAGAATAGTAGTACAATTAAATGATAGTCTTTATTTGTGGTTTTCAATTAAATAACAAAGTAATTTATTTAATTGATAGGAAAAACCACTGAAAAGTGATTATCAGTTGTGGTATATATTGATTTGTGATCAGTGTTGCAGGATAAACAATAAATGAAGGAAAATTATAAGGTATTAAGTAAATAAATAGAAAAGAGTGAAATTGAGAATTTCTAGTTGGTATTTAAATTATAAGTCTTAAAAATTTTGTTAATTATACTTCGTAATTTGATTGTTGTATAATTGCATCGACCTCGTACGACATTTTGTCATACCGTTAATAAAGATCACAAAATCTTTAAAACAAATGCACGTCGCAGTTTAAGATCAGGAAATCCTTGATCCCCCGCAGTCATCATTACCATGATCGTGACAGAAGCTGCTGTAACGATGTCATTGGGGCTTCCCTTACAGATTTTGTGGCCCCAAATTGATGCGATCACAAGAAGTAAAACCGAAGTAAACGAGTCCCGCAAATGTCGAAGAGATTTCAGAGCCAGTTCGAAACGCAACGCAGGCAGCTTCCTGGTCATTGTTTCATAATTAAAAACTAGTTTACATATAGTATGCAGGGCTCGTCTGGGTGGATGGAGATTAAAGCTAAAGACGCTAGCCGCGCCCCCTTCCAAGGGGAGGCGTTAATGAAGTTTTCGTGTCTCGATTGCGTTTGGTTCGGGCTTTTATTTTCCCATCCATCCGACCGGGAGAGCTAATTTAAAAGGTATTTCCCCCCTCCGCCTCTTTGTGGCGTTGACAGAACCCGCCACAACCGAGTTATATAATCATGTTCGGCAAGCAGACAGCCATCAGCCATCGGCCATGAGCCACTCCCCATTTCTAATGAAAGCGAACGCTGAAAATTTCACTTTGGTTAAAATAATTTTAATGTGCACTGGTCAAATGTGGTTTCCCAGTGAAGCGAATGCAGGTTGCAACGTCATTTTCGATTTTTGTTTTGGTTGCCGTTTTTTTTTCTTTCTTTCTTTTTTTTTGGTGAAAGTCGGCGAGGCGACAATGCCGCCGTGCGTGTGTTCGTAATCATAATCGGGGGAATCGGTATTGGTTTCGGATTCGGATTTGGACACTTTCCCGTACGTACAAGGCAAATGCAGACGAGGGCACAGACAGCACAAGCGATGGTCAGCAGGATTGGTTCGGGCACTAGCAAATCCTCCTGCCCCTCACCACAAAAAACGCCTAGGAGCTGAACACTTTTGCGGGATAATCGGGCGGTACTCGCGTTGCCGCTCCACGGCAAACAAACTGCGCTTTTATCCGACCACATCTCGTCGAGAGCTCAGGCGATTTCCATTCGCAAAGTCCAACTGAGCCGCAGTGAAGCCGCGTCCATCTTCCAGGCGCAGAGATTACATCTGGGGAATTCTATACCCAAGCCAGCGACAATGGCGAGATGAACTTGACCGTGAAAGCAGCCAGCGTCATCGCTCAGCGGAGAAAGAGTCGCGGGGGAAAGACTGGTGGACTGGTCGCAAGTGACGTCAAAGTGGCTTTATTACGATCACTTCACTGACCACTGAATACTGACAGCCGCCGGCCGAAAGCACAGTTCGATTCACAGTTGCAGCGCTGAGAACAGGAAATAAAAAAACTCAAGCGGGCAGCCAAGTGAATCCAAAGAGGCTGCATGTAACCGATATCTTCCCAGGGAGCTAACACAGCCGTGGACAACATTTTAGAGCCACGATATTTTATACTGTAGATTAGGTTAAATTCGAATTTTTGTAAAATATTTTCAGGTTTTGCATTTACTTCAGAGATATAAAAGAAAAGAATGTATTTGCAGAGCAGACATAAATAAACTGATAATTAAGAATGAAACAAACGAATATAAATATTATAGATTTTTCATTTAGCAAATTAACACAAATTCGGCTAGGTGTAAATTTTAGTTTCGTTTTCGTTCACTTACTAAATAGTTCTATAAAAAAAGACGAGAAATTCTTGTTTGAGTTTTACGAATTTGTATGGCAGTAAAATCACAAATCACCACTGCGAATTCGTTTTTATTTCAAGCATAAATTATTCAAAGGGGTTTATATATTCTAATTTGAATAGAAGCTGAAGAAAGAGCCTACCTCTTTGGTGAAAGAGGTTGAGGGCAAATCAAACGTACGATTATTTCGTCAAGTCATGCTTACTTAGTGTAAGATAGTCAACTAGTATTTGGTTTCCTCAAAATGTGAACGCTGCTGTGTGATCCCATCTAGAAAGGGACCGTGATGATTGAGAGGTGCCCATTTAATATAATAATTGCAGAGTAAGTTTAAGTTAATGAAAGGATTCTGACAAGGAGGTGATTGTTCGCATGCCATAAACAATTACAGGAGACTGCAGATAGAGGAACGTTTCAATATTTTTGAACTGACAAATGACATCCGTCGAATTCCAAGGTAATTTCTCGATTAGATTGAAAGTAACAGCAAATTGTTTGGACAAATACACGGAACAATGCCAACGCATTCCGCTGTGACTCGTTTCGTTTCGTTTGAGATAACCATAATAACAATAATCACATATTATGTGTTTGCCTTAAAACGTAAATCCTGTCAATAAACTTTTTTGTAACAAGTCGGCGCGAGATCAGCACACACGACAATGGCAAACGCCACGCACGGGTTTAACGATCTTTAAAAATATATACTTAAATGTTAGCATGAGCATGAATGAGCTTAAACCAAAAATAACAGAGAAGAAGAGCCAGGCAAGTCGTAAACCCAGCTCAACACCTGCTAAATGCTCTGCAAACATCTGGACGTTCCAATCCCAGTTCGCTGAGCTGAACCCTAACGTATTTGGGATCTAGACACCTAAATCTGTGCCGCACTTCGTCTGGCACAGGTGAAAAGTGAAGAAGTGTCTAGTTCTAAGCGAGATCAACGACTCGAGACTTTCTATTTACAGACCTAATTTTATCAAATCAGAATTTGAATTAAATTGTTTATAATAAGTGCTTGCTCTAACTAGATTTCTAGCTGGATGGATTAAAAAATAATTGCTAAATGTAATTTCTGTAAGTGAGCATGTCGGTCCACATACATTTACGTATTTGTTTTAATTTTCCGTGCAATTATTTAATTTATTTACTTTAATCCATTACGTTATAATGGACAATCCCTTTCGAAATGACAGCTTATTTTATTGACTCAGTCTTTAATAACACAGTGCAACACGGAAAATGTAACTGCAATTTGGATTTCAGTTTCTGAAACTAATCAGCAACCTAATCAAACTGCACTTGGGGGTTATCTAGCTTAGCTCGCGTGTTAACTAGTCTCGATGAAGTACCTTCTTAATCCGATGTCCAAATTGCGGTAACACCCGAAAAAGCTGCAAATGTTGCGCAGTGTAATTTTCCAATTAATATTAATGATACACCGAACGAACTTATATAAGCAAACAACTGGCAAGATCAACCATCTGATGATGGGACTTATCGACCGGCAACTGTAAATCAGCCAAAGATATGCGTGTCTATTATATTTTGCTACGAAAATCATTTATAATCAATGCATAAATGAATAACTTAAGGCATCGCAGTGGTCAGTGAAAGCCTATTGACCCAATATATCGGTTGCTGACTCGTTTTTTTATGGCGTGTAACATTAGCATCGATCCCCATCGACCGGGTGTTCTGATCGGCATCCTTTTGTTGACAATCTGTGGAGTGTTTGCCTGCACTTAGCAAACACTGCCACTGCAATTGCCAGGCCTGCCGTTCCAACCAGTTAATGATCGTTCATCATGACAGTGACCGCTCTGCTGCTGCTGCTGATACTGCTGCTGATAGGCTGCCCTCGCCGCTCGCCGGCGGCAGAGACAGAACGCAGCGGGCTTTATTTAACCAAGCCTCCGTCTAGAATTTTGCAATACTTCGGCTCGAAGCTTGTAACGATTCGGAGGTGTATCAGGCCAGGCTCTGCTCTGCACCGCTCAGAAATTTCGCGTTGTTTTAGTGAGCGGCACGAGTGAGTGATAAAAATTGGATCGCGAATTAAGACAGGAATTCGAAAAACAACAGAATACCTTAAATCGCTTTTAAGTGGATTTTAATTGACGCCTTGTTGTGAATTGTCATCTGGTTTTTGGCTTCGACCAGTGCGGTTTATGGGATCGTTAACGGGAATGCATATATTAAGATCGTGGCTTTCGCTGCTCATTCTTGGCACATCGGGAAGTAAGTATCAATCAATGTGATCTGGTTTTAATGATCTATCTAGAAGTTCTCACACATATGCTTTTTCAGTGGTTGCGTCTGCCCAGTATTTTGCTTACGCGCCCGGAAAATGCGACATATCCATTTCAGATGTAATACAGGCCATGATTAACACCGAAGCTGGCATCATCCTGGGAAGACCCCGCCCAACGCAATCCAAACTGCTGCAGTACGATCTCTATACTCCTCTTAATCCGGAGGAGCGCCAGTTTCTGCGACCAGGAGATATCAGCATGCTACAGAACTCGCACTTCAATCCTAAATGGCCAGTGAGGTGAGAGAAATCAACCAAATTTGTCATCATGAATTTACATTTTTTGGCAGGTTTTTTTTATCTTTTTGATTTTTATCAGCTAGGGAAATGTGAAAATATGTTAGGTGTTTATTTTGGACAAGGGGCGTTCGTTTTTTCTCCGTTAAGATTATTGTGAAAAATATTTTATAATTAATAAGTTTTAAAATTCTCTTATTAAGAATTGTTTTCAGTCATATAATTTCATATGATCTTTTAATAAAGATCTTATATCTTACAAATATTGAATATTAATCATCCGTTGTTATTAATTTCGAGACTTTAAATTATTTTTAAAGACATTGCTTTTACAAATCTTTTCAGGAAGTTTGAAAAAATTATATTTTTTAAAAGCACTAAAATCAAAACCTTTTAACATGTTGTATCTTTTTTTCCAGAGTTTCTATACATGGCTGGGCGGGAAAGAGTACTTCCTGTTCAAATGCCGCCATCAAGGATGCCTACTTATCCCGTGGCAACTACAATGTCATAATTCTAGACTGGAGTCGCCAAGCCTTGGATATCAGCTATCCGCGTGTGTCCAAGCAGCTTCCTTCAATAGCTGCCAATGTGGCCAAATTGCTGCGATTTTTGCATGATAATACAGGAGTTCCTTACGAGCAAATCTACTTGGTGGGTCACAGTGCCGGCAGTCATATCTCGGGGTTGACCGGAAAGTATTTGAAGCCACAGCGATTGGGTGCTATTTTTGCCCTGGACCCCGCAGGCCTTACTCAACTGAGCTTGGGACCCAAGGACCGGCTGGACGTTAATGATGCCTTGTATGTGGAGTCCATTCACACGGACCTAACGCTACTGGGCAATCCGAGCACCAAGCTCAGCCACGCCTCCTTCTTCGCCAACTGGGGCCTGGGGCAACCACATTGTCCCAACGCCACGGCCACGGAGTTTGACTTTGTGTGCGACCACTTTGCGGCCATGTTCTACTTTGCCGAGTCAGTGCGTCAGCCCAAATCATTTGCCGCTTTGCGCTGCAGCACGGCTCAATCGGTGCTTTCGGCCACCTGCAACTGCAGCGGCAATGGTAGCCGAAAACATGCAGCTCAAATATGCAGTGGCAACGAGTTCATGGGCGGTGAACCGGCGGTGCCCAAGAGGGGTATCTTCTATCTAAGCACACGACCACGATCTCCGTACGGCACCGGCGATGGACTAGTCCACATTCGACGACCACGGCCGTCCACAGTTCGGGAGACGGCGAGACGACCATTACTTGGATAGAAGTTGATCAGAAGCGAGTGAAGAGAATTGACCAAAAAGTGATTTAGCCTTTACTAAAAGCGAAATGCCCAAAGAATACGAATAAAGCAGAGATTATTTTACAATTGAGTTCAATACGATATTCCTTTAATTGAACTGGGTCTTTCCTCAGATTTAATCTTGTCTTTGGACTATGATTATTTTGCCCTTCTCAATTTCAAGTTACTATTGAACGTGTTAAGTCAATGTCAACTTTTCGGTTTAAACGACTAATTACGCGTGAGTAAAAACAATTAGATGGGAGTTGCCTTCAACAGAGAGTGATTAATCTTATAGGAACGTGAGATCGAACAAAACTTTGAGGGGAGAGACGACCGAGGCGCAACCATCAAACTTGTTAATTGGCTGGCAGGTACACCACCATAGGCATATACGACTAAAATACATTTAAACTATATAGATTAAACAATTATAGATCGCATTTTTTTAATTAATTATTGCAAATTAATTGTGCAATAGTTCTTAGTCTAAATGATGTGTATTATTAAGGAGATTTAATTGCTTTAATTGCTTGAAGCTTTTCACAGATTAGATAACTTTTCCAGAAACTATATTTTATAGGGATTTTTCCAAAGCTTACAAAAATATTGTTTCATAATTCAAAGAAAAGTACATTTTTCCAATTTACAATAAAAAGATTTCAAATATACCAACTAGAGCGTAATATTCGAGGACTCACCTGACTAGGTCCAATGCGATAACTGGCCACATCCAGCTCATTGACTGCTAGTATCTGCTCAACGCTCACATCCTTGTTGCTAGCCAAGTCACCGGCCAAAAGGCCAAAGCGACGGACAAACTCCAATAATGGCACTGATTCGGGAAAACCAAGGCGATGCAAACGAGCGGCTTCTAGGACTTGCGAGCCACGTAGCTATGTGAAGCAAAGAAAAGAATAAATTATTAAAGTTGTAAAAAGTCTTTAACTGTAACTGTTTCTTGGATTAGACATTAAATTTTACATATAGAAATATATTATATATTAAAATCAAATTGTTGTTCTTTTGTCGGTTTGTATCTAACCCTTTAACTTTAATTTATTGATCTGTTAAGCTTACCTGACTCCTTAACAGTGGCACATTGACCATTTCCTCCTCGCTGGCCGCCTGACCGGCAACAGAACTAGGTGATCCATTTGCTGTAAACTTGGCATGCTTGCCAGCGTTATGTTGCAAAAGATAGCAGTGGACAAAGTGGGTGCCGGTGCGTCGCAAAGTATCGATAATTCCGTCCACGGTGAACTTCACCTGTAGCATGATGGAATTGCGCTTCACTCCGGCCGTTGTAAAGGAGCGGCGAATACTGGATACGCGCCGCAGAGACTGAGTGCCCTCCAATCCAGCAAAGGACCCACAGAACACCATCGCCCCTGATCCTCTAGTCAGTGAGCCAATATACAGGCGGTTAATCTCCTCCCGACTGCTGTCCTGAAGCAAGGACACGGCATTTCGTATGCCAGGATGCTCGCGACTATGCCTCACCCAGCCATCAACAGCATAGAGCACGGGATTGGTGCCCTGCAGATGATGGAGTACAAACTGCCGGGGACCGGCGCACTTGCGCAATAGCGTGTGATGCTCCCGGTCACCGTAGTGAGAGAACAAGCGCTCGAGGAATGTGTCATCGTTGGAGTTTGGATAAATGGCTTCCTCATCCAGCAGCCTATAACATAGATCGATATAATAAATTAGCAAATTAAAAGCGTTAAAGGAAGGTTAGTTAACTTACCATAGCATGCCCCGACGATCGTGGTCACGTAGATCTCGCTGGGATGACCGCACCACATGGTTCTGGGGCGCCTTGTCGATCAGAGAGATTAGTGGGCCGGGATGGCACTCCGAAGCCTGATCCATCTCGATCTCCACCAGCTCCTGGGCGTATCGATCGCGGGGCGCCACCAGAGTGGTGTGATGGAAGAGCATCTGCAGCCGTTCCTGCAGGTAGTTGTGACGCAGATCCGCCAGAGTAGCGCCCACTTGCTGGCCACAGCTGGCCGGATTTTGGAAGCCAGGCGTGTCGATTAACATAATTGAGGCAATGGTGTGGGCGGATGTGCATATCTGTCTATTGACCAACGCCACCACCGCAGCGAGAGCCTCCGAGTAGAGGCCAATAACCAACGCCTCTAAACATTCCCAGGCCCACTCGTGGCCATTGTCCGTCGTGGGCGACTTTGAAGGACTTAGACCGCCATTTGGGGCATTGGGTTGTGTGAGACCAAAGGCTGCTGATGACAGATCTTCTAGATTCACGCCCAACAAGCCCGAAGCCTTGCGGGCGGCTGTGGGATTAGCAAACTGAGTCCGTGCTGTAGATCCAGTGCCCAGTTTTGTGACACCCGCAATGCCCAGATGGTAAATGGCTGCCAGAATGCTCCAAATCCCGCGCACTGCCTTTGCATCAATGTTCAGCGTCTCGAAGGCCTGAACCGTGCGCATAAAGTCATTGGCCGCTCGATGGCGGTCCTCCAGCTTCTGGGAGAGCGATATGAAGGGATGGCTGTCCTCGGAGGTTATGTTCTCCAGGTGCAGCTCCTTCTGGAGCAAACCTGCTGCGCCAGCAAGAAGTCGCGTCATGATGTGGAAACTATGTTCGTGGCCTAAGCGACGACCAGCTCTCTGTCGTTCTGGGAGCAGAACCTAAGTGAAAAAAAGGTGAAAAAACTATGCGAATGCCTGTATTAAATAAAAACTCACTTGCAATGAAGCAGATGCAATCTGGCCGGTTTGGTCAAAATCCAGGCTCAACAGCTGCGTCATCCGAGTGGCATTAGAGTTGAGGCAAGTTTTCGTATTTCCAAAAGCCTCCAGAATCGTGCACAGGGCATTGACCTTCTCCGCATTAATGAAATTATTATAGGCACCTAAAGAACAGAAGAAAGAATTAATTTTTTTTCAAAAACAAGTATCTTTTAAATACAATTTATCAACAAAAAATTTATTTTTTTTCCTTTGAAAGTTCAATATCTTTTGTTGTTTTTACAATTCTCGCTGAATTCATTAATGAGTATTTAATAAAAAAGAAAAAACTGTAACTTTGAAAAGGGTAAATATATATACAGGTTTTTTTTATGTAGGACTAATATAATTACAACGAAAGCAAAGTAGACATCAAAAATATACATATTTTTTTAAACCTTTAAAATATTCAAGAGCTTATCAAAACAAATCGTATTGTTTACGTCAGTAAAGCTGTCTTAATATTTGTTATTGTATAATTTGCTTGGGCAATATAAGTTGCCCGATAAAAACGAATATCAATAATATGTATCATGGCAATTTACATTTTCATTAGACGGTTCCCCTTTTTGGGTCATAAATCTAACAATGAAACCGAATTGGAGGCTTGACTAATTGCAGCTGCATTTCTTGGCCAACAATGCAAATGAGCCAATCGAACGCAGATTGCATTTTGGTGTGGCCCCGCACAAACTGGGCCAGCCAGCAGCCAGCAGCCCACAGCCTACGGCCAAAAGGAAAACAAACAACAAATGCAACTGAAAATCGAGTGCGAGTAGGAGCAGCCACGACAATAAGATGGTGGAAACGCAGCCCGGTCTAGACATACCCGCTGCCAACGCCAGGTAGTTGAGCGCATGCTTGAAGCTGGTGGATTTGCCAGAACCAGATCGACCCATGAATATCAAGCTCTGGTCGCGCCGCGTTTCGACCAGGCTCCTGTAGGCGGTCTGTGCCAGTGAATAGACGTGGGGCGGCATGTCCTCCGTCTTGCAGCCGCGGAACATGGAGACAACCTACGAACGAGGGACAGCACCCGATAAATAACCCGTTCAGACCAGTATCCAGTTGGTACCTACCTTCTCGGAGTAGAGGGACAGTGGTGCCATGGGATTGACCACGAGCAGCGTGGGCCCCGCCTTGGTGTGGATGAGATTGCTGGCGTAGCGCTGGCGCAAGCAATGGAGCACGGACGCTTCATTCAGATACTTCAGCTCGCAGATGTCCTCGGCCAGGTCCAGGGCGGAGCTGTTCTGCTTCTCCACGTCGTCCTCGTCGACCGTCAGCAGCTCCCCATTATGCAGGAGGCGCAGATTCAGCTTGTGCTCCTCATCCCGGCCAGAAGACGGCGTCGGCAGGCGGATGGCGGCAGTGAAGCCACCGCGATGCACCAGCCAAACACGCTCCGGCTGACTGGCATCCGCCACATCCGCCTCCAGATCGTGGCCCTCTCCTTCGACCCCTCCTCCATTGCCATTCTCGTGGCGGCTCTGCGAAAAGATGGAAAACAAACAAGGCAACACAAAAATTGAGTTAAATTGGGGTCAACATTTTGTCGGCGCAACTTCAACTGAAGCAGCAGTTCGGCGGTGTGGGGTGTACATTGAGTTTATTTTGGGAACGGCGTGGATCGGGAAACATTTTCACGCATTTATTCCATTTATTATCCCTACTCCACCGCCGCAGGCAGCCAACAGAGTTGCTCTCGGTTTATTTCGGGTGCATTTCTAAATTTGATGATGTTTCTAAATCCTAATTAGCCGCCTAGACGCGCCAAATGCTATTGGGCTAGACAGCCAAACCGACGACGACGCGGATGCGCCATTATGCAACCCACCAACGTCGTCGCCAGCGTCAGTTCACATTTGTGGCTATAAATGGCATTTAGCAGCAGCAGCCTCCCAAGCTATCTTCTTGCTAAGATATCCCTCCGCCAGATAGATCTTCTCCCGAATTATGAAAATATTGTGCAAGGTTCAATAGCCCTCAATTAAAGGCACGTTTCGGGAAAGTGGGGGAAACTAATTAATTTTGTAGATGTTGGGAAAGCCGGAACGGATAGGAAAACGAATGTAGTCTTTCATTAGGTTCTTAGTCACTTTAATTTTATGGCTGTTCAACAGTTTCGAAACGATTGTTCATAGACTTTTAATATAATTGAACGTGTTGGAATTTAAGTGGGGAAGAGTAAACTCATTAAAAGGGGCTTGAATTCAAAAGTTCTTATTAAAACTGTATTTTTACAGTTTTTCAAGTAAATTTCTGTGGAATTTAGGAAGGTTTTTCAATTAACATAATACTGAAATTTCTAATGATGTTAGATTATTAAGAAGTTTTAA